AATTAACACATGACAAAGGAGCCATGAATATACAATGGGGAAAAGACAGCCTCTTCAATCACTGGCATTGGGAAAACTGGACACCTACATGCAAGAGAATGAAACTGGATTATTGTTTAAGTCAATACACAAAAGTAAACTCAAAATGGATCAAAGCCCTGAATATAAGTCATGAAAGCATAAAACTCTTAGAAGAAAACATAGGCAAAAATTTCTTGAACAAAAGCATGAGCAGTTTTCTCCTGCACACACCTCCTCCAACAAGGAAACGAAATAAAAAATGAACAAGTGGGACTCTATCAAACTAAAAAGCTTCTGGACAGCAAAGAACACCATCAGCAGAACAAAAAGACAACCTACAGTATAGAATATACATGTATAGGAAGATATACAGTATAGGAGAATAAATAATTTATCTGATAAGGTATTAACATCCAAAATATATAATGAGGTCTTACATACACCTCAACACCCAAAAAACAAACAACCCAATCAAAAATGGGCAGAGGACCTGAACAGACACTTCTCCAAAGAAGAAATACAAATGGCCAACAGGTGCATGAAAAGATGCTCCACATCACTAACCATCAGGGAAATGCAAATCAAAACCACCACGATATTATCACCTCACAGCAGTTAGAATGGCCACTTTTCAAAAGACAAGAAATAATAAGTGTTGGCAAGGATGTAGAGAACAGGGAACCCTCCTACACTGTTGGTGGGAATGACAGTTGGTGCAGCCACTGGGAAAGCAGTATGAGGTTCCTCAATAACTAAAAATATTAAAACCATATGACACAGTAACTGCACTTGTAGGAATTTACTCAAAGAAACAAAATCCCTGATTCAAAAAGACATAAGCATCCATATGATTACTGTCACTTTATTTATAATAACCATGATAGGGAAGCAACCAAAGTGACCATCAACAGATGAATGGATAAAGAAGACGGGGTACATACACACAATGGAATATTATTCAGCCAAAAACAGAAAGAAATCCTGCCATTTGCAACAATACTGATAAACCAAATGGTATAATGCTCAGTGAAATAAGCCAGGCGGAAGAAGACAAATACCATATGTTTTCACTTATTTGTGGAATATAAGAACAAAACAAAACAGAATGAACAAAAGAGCAGTAGACTCACAGACACTGAGAAGGGACTGGTGGTTATCATGAGGGAGGGGTTCGGTAGGAAGGTGGGGAGTGTGAGGGGGATGATGGGGCAAAAAAAGTTCAACCATAATATAAGTTGGTCATGGGGCTAGAAGTGCAGCATCGAGAATATAACCAGTGATTCTATAACATCCTTCTGTGTTGACAGACAGTAACTGCTATTTGGTGTGAAGATTTAATAACGTGAGTAACTGGTGAACCACTGTGCTGTGTACTTGAAACTAATATAAGATTATATTTCAACTATATGTCAATAAAAAAAGTAAAAATAAAAAAGGAACAAACTATTGTTCTGCTTCCAGCAGCCATACAGGAAAATAACATAATTCATGGTGCACTAGGTACTCAGAAGGGTTTTATCTCTGTAGTGGGGAAAAATTATTATTAGACCAAACATAGCTCTGATTTCACCTGACAAATCTTAAAAATAAGGTACGAATGGAAACTGAGTCCAACTAACTGCATTTCAGAACAAAGCTCCAGAATAATTATAGAAACACAAAAATACCTAGCACCCAACATGGTAAAATACACAATACACAATGTACGACATTCGATCAAAAATTGGTAATTATGCAAAGAAGCAGAAAAATATGACATAATGAGGAGAAAAATCAACCAATCAAAATGGACCCAGAACTGAGAGAGTTAATAGAATTAGCAGGCAAGGACATTAATAGTTTTTATGACTGTATTCCATATGATCAAAAAGTGAGTAGAGACATGGCAGATAAAAAAAACCAAAACCCACACTAAACTCCTGGTGATGAAAAATACATTGGGTGGAATTAACAGATTAGGCAATGCAAAAAAAAGTAAGTGAATCTGAAGACAGAGCAACAGAACCTATCCAGAATGAAACACAAAGAAAAAACGAATCTAAAAATGAGAAGCATGTCACTGTGCTTTTGGGCAGACATCACACTGTTTAATATACTTGAAATTGCAGTCCCCAAAGGAGAGAAAGAAGCAGGAGAGGCACAAAAAAACATGAAGAATTACTGGCAAAGCAATTTCCAATTTGATGCAAACTACAAATCCACAGACCCAAGATGCTCAACAAACCCCACGGAAAAGAATGTGAAAAAATCACAATTCTTTAAAAAGCAGCATCTTTAAAGCACTGAGAGACAACACTGCCAGCCCAGACCTCTGTACCCAGAGAAAACACCTTTTAAAACTTAAGATGAAAGACTTTTCAGGATATAAACTTTGAAAGAATCTATCATTTATATTGCAAGAAATGTTAAAAGTTCCTTTAGTTGGAAGGAAAATGATACAAAGCTATATTAAGTCAAACAAAAAAATTAAGAACAGAAATGTAACTACCTGGAATAGATATAAAAAGACTTTTTTTCTTATTAGATCGCTGTAGAGGATAATTAGAGCTCCAACTCCTGGGAAGATGGAATAAGCACATGTGGACCTGCGTCTGTCACTGAATGCCGCCAGAAAAACCAGAAAAGTGCATGAAGCAGCTCTTTGACACCTTGATTAGCAGCCGGATTAGAGAAGACAAAAATTCAAAATACCACTAAACCTGTGGTAAGTTAGCATCTTTCCCTTTCCAGTACACCCCAGTTGGGATTCAACGTGCCTGAAACCCGTAAGTGGGCATCTGGCTGCAGACAGAGAAAGTTCCGGAAGCAGCCCAGTTCTAGCTGAAGGAAGGGGGAGGGCAAACCTAATGCTTGAAGAGAGTGAGAGAGCCTTAGGAACTTCCCCTCTCTCCCTTTACTCTCATCTCCTTCCCCAGCTCCACCCCCCCCACCCCCCCGGTGGCAGAAACAGCATCTGGTAATCAGAGCACCCAGAAGGGGAATTGGGGGGGGCAGACGCATCCTTGTGCAGTGGAGGCGGTGCCTTTGGTGGCGGCCAGCTCCCACTGCTGTCGCACTCTGCTCCTGGTTACACGGCTCTAGTCCGCAGCAGAGCTACAGAAGGCAAGTTTTCAGATGAGACAGGGGCCCCAGGGAAACAGGGAAGACAAAGGAACTCAGGAAGCAACCCCATAAAGTTGTTTATTATCACCTGGGCACATCCCTGATACGGTTATGCACAGATCTGACGCTATTCAGCATATCAAAGACTTTGAAATGTTAGCTAACAAGCAGATGACTGCCCAGGTCCAGCCTCATCACTGGGTGGCACGCGTGCTGGACAGCTTACAGTGACACCGGCAGGCTTTGAAAAATGAGCTGATAACTGGAACCACAGAAGGTAGATGGGCACTTGTAACCTGCCTAACTGGGGCCAATGCAAGAAAGAATTCAATACTAAAGCAAAGTTTTCAATATGCTGTGTAGGATTGAAATAACACCCAGAGTCTCATAAAGGAATATTCAAAGGGCCAGAATACAATCCAAAGTCACTCGGCATCAGAAGGACCCGGAAAGTCTTTACTTTGACGGGAGAAGATTGGCGGCTGTCTCTGTTGTTTAAGCCAACAACCGACACAAGAAAGATGTTGGAATTCTCCAAGACTTTAAAAGTTATTATAACAATGCCCTAGGAAACGATCGTGAGCAGTTGACAGTAGTGGAAAAACAAGAAGTCTAAGAAAAGAAATAGAAAAAACAAAGAAAATTGTAAGAAATTCAAACTTCAGTGTAAATAAAATTTTACTAGAAACGGAGCCATGCAAAAACCTTTGTGTACTGTCTTATTGCGGCTTTTACACTATGACACAGAGGTTACAACAGTCTTCCTGGCTCGCAAAGCCGGAAATACTCACCCTCGGTCCCCGCAGGGAAGCATCTGCTAGCCTGTTGGACTCCCCTGCGCACTCAGAGTAGTTCACGCGGTTGGATGGAGCCTGCGCATCGGACCCTTTGGGATCGGGCCCTGCTTACCTTTTCCACCACTTCCTGATCACCATTCTTTGTCTTGAATTCTGAACTTCAGCCATCCATGCTGAATCAAACCCATCTCCCCGAGCTTCACATACTCCCTCACCTCTGGGTCCTGGCCATTCTCTGCCTAAAATCATTCTGCTGGGCGTCCTGTTCAGCTGACTGCCCGTCCCGCAGCGCGCGGCACTTCCACTGGCTCTCCCAGGACTGACTTATGCCCTGATACACTCTGAGTAGCCTGTGATCACTTCGATCATACGACCGATCAAGTGTAACTGCCTCTTTACTTGCCTCCCTTTCCACTGGACCCTAAGCTCCTTAAGGGGAGGGACCTGTGTCAAACCATTATTGTTTCCTCACTGCTCAGGAGTTTGTGGTATATACTGGGACTCAATAAGTAACTGCTGAATAAGAAAATAAATGCTATGGTGTCTTTGGGCTTATCTCTAATGCAAGAAAGAATTCTAGGAAAATAGTCCATCAAAAAATGTCTTAAAACTGTATTAGTTAGCTGTGAGTCAGACTGCCTTTTAGAACATAAGCTCCACAAGAGCACGTTTTGCTAGCTCACTGTTGATCTCTGGCGCCTGGAACAATGCAATAAAATAATAGGTGCTCAGTAATTACTGCTGAATAAATGAAGCAGTGAGATCTCAAAAGCCAAATGCCTAAGGGAACTTTATCAGATTTTGTCAAAGTTCACTGCTCTGGTTCTCATCAAGAATTACTCCTGGTAAACAGATTAATCAGATGGTAGAAAGGTTAAAGTAATATAACTTAAATATGCTTCATTAGTTTCCTCTCTCACACTACACACTTTTGTAATAAATCCATCCTTGATATTCTGAAGGTTGGATAGTTCTCCCAGCCTCTCTCGATCCCTCTAAGAGGTCTCCCTTTCAGAGGGACCAGGTACGAGTGCCCATGTGTGCCAGACCCGAGCAGGACAGGAACACTTCTATACGTACTTCCAGTTGCAGAGAAGGACGTATCCAACGTCAAACCGCCCAGAGGAATCACCAGCTGACCCCCTGCTTCCCATTTCTTCCGATCAGAAGAAACCGATTTTTCCTGCTCACATTCTTTGGCAGCTTCATGAACAATTATCTCACACACACCAGAGTGCTTTTCTTTTTCATCTTCTTGAGCTTTAAGATTTTGATTTAATCTACGCAGTATTTCTCGCTTACTCTGAAAGAGTTATAGTGTTATATTTTAATATGTATATGATTAAGTAAAATGATTGACAGAAAATTTGAAAATTGTACCTACTGAAATAGCATTGTTAGTCTTCTGCATTTCTTCTGAGGTTTCCTGGGTATCAGTTAAACTGCTGTCCTTTAAACAAAGACAGTTACAGAGTAAGATATGATGTTATTTTAAAAGTCTACCTTAAAAGTTTGATAATTTTGTTACTTTTTGTTTTTCATTAAGTTGTTCCTTGTGCATTTTTTTACTCCTGTAAAATGTTAACATAGCCCTTCATTATCAGAAAGGAGAAATAGTTAAATGTAATTAAGCAGTAGACTTAATGTATAGTAGAAGGACCAATTCTCAATTATTTGTCACACTTTTGAATTACTTATCACATATTTAATTATATTTTCTTTCTCTTTGGCACCTGATTTTGTTAATTTTAAGTCAATGATAGAAATAAAAAGAAAATTAATTCATAGAATCTCTTAATTAGAGGAAATTTTGACGGGTGAAGTTAATTCAAGATAGGCTGTGTTATTCTGAGGCTGTCCTTACACTTCATGTGAATATTACTAAGCCATACTACTAAACATAATTGAGAACTGGCTTTTCCCCCTAGGCAAAGAGAGTAACAATGAGTTCTGACCCTCTGTTCGATGATCATATACATTCTATCTGTGGATTAGTATAAGCATAATGATCTGGACCACCTAGGATTTCTGAATACGTGAAAAGAAGGAATTAGAAGTTATGAAAGCTACAAAACAAACATATCTGGAGGACTCAGAGGGAGGGAGAGCGATTTTCAAAATCGTAAGCAAGCAGTATTTACCAAGAAATCCATTTAGTTACATGGATTACAAAGATTGTATAATATTTGAGAACAAAAACAAGAGCATAGCGGTCAGTCTTAAAGTAATACATGTAAAGGAGACGAAGAGCGTTTTACCCAGTGGAGCAGTCGGGAGTTAGCAGCTGCTACAACGAGAGAGACGGACAGCTACTGGGGCTGGGAGCCTGGGGGCGCTGGGAGCCTGGGTGCCGGGGAGGGACCCACAGAGCGGCGCCTAGAGCTGGGGTGAACAACGCAGCACGTGCAAAGTCATCGCCAGAAAGGGGGAGGCCGACCCCACTGAGGAGCGGCACGCTCTCACACAGGATCCTTGAGCGCAACCAAGGGACTTGTATTCTCCCACTCAGTTTTAGTAAGATAAACACAAGGTTGTAAATAACTGTATCAACAGTGTCAGTGTTGCCTGCAAACACCTGATTAAGTTAAAAACTTTGACTAGGAAACAGGAGTTCACTTGCCTCAGCCCCAGAAAAGTTTTCACGTTTTACATGGATACCTGACACACTCCCAAGTTTACACTCTTACTTGCGTGGGCTTCTCTGTTTCACCACCCACACAGGATGACAGAGATTCAGAGGTAGAAGGTAAAAGAAATAATTGAAAAATTAAGTGTAATTATACTGAGTCCTCTAACATTTGCTATGCCTAAGATTTAAAATAAAGGCAAACATGTCTTGGACTCTATTCCTAGAATTAATTAAGTACCAAAGACACATTATTATTCTTTTTTAAAGTGAACCTTTGTTAATTGTGAGAGCTGAGGTATAAAAATGCTCATGGCATTATTTTCAGTACATTTCTATATATGTATTATTTGTTCAATATTCTTTTAAAGAAAAAATATAGAGAATCATTTCATACACGTTAACCTACCAGGTGGTGCTAGACAGCTACCTATGAATAGTGAGGCTCTAATCTTCAGGGTAAACATACACAAAAATCTTAAGAAGCAATTTTTTTCCCTAGAAAGATCAATGGTACATTAGGAATCATTGTAATTTCAGTAAATTTAATCCTTTTAATAATTTTTTGAGTTCTAAATTTTAGGAAACTTACCATACCCACTTCTTTCAAAGCTGAAGTGACAGAAATGACAGATCTCCTCTGTCGCTTCGACGGAGAGCCGCCTGCTCCTTGCTGTCCCACAGGCACGAGTGTGTCGGGACCCTTCGCTCCTTCAGCCACCAGCTGTGATGAAGAATTTCAGCACACTGGGAAATTTGTATTTGCAAGAAGAGATAAGACGACACATGCAACCACTGCCGATCTGCTCTGCCCACCGGCAGCTCTTTCACTCCTCAGTTTTATTGTGCAGGCGATGGTCTAGGCTCTGGGCAAAGACCGGTGACTGCAGAGACACCTCCAGTCTCAGACGCGAACGCCATCCCGTGTGAGCTGTACTGAGTAACTCCTTTCCACTGCACTAGCAACATTTCAAAAAATTATCTTAAAAAACAGACTGTTTTCTAAAAGATTAAATATGGTCTTCTTACTTTAATTTTAATCCATTATAACATTTGGTGGGAAGAAAAATGTTTTATTTATTAACTTACTCTTCAGAAAGAAATGCTTCTGTAACTTCTGCAAGTTTGGAACAACCTTCTTAAAGTCTGAACATCAATCATCAAACGTCAGAGCCTCATTATAAAAATGCCAACATAAATGAGGACAGAAGTGAAAGGTACCAGTATTAAGAGTTGTGTCACTAAAAATACCATGTTACACTGATGTATGTGTTCATTTTATCTTGCCATTTAGATAATTAACAGTGTAAAATGACTCTGAACATCTAATAAACACAAGGAAACGATGTTTACAGGTCAGCTCAGGAACATGGCAGCAAGTTTGCTCCCTACCCCTGCCTCTTCTCAAACCAGTCTGCAAGAATTTCTGGGGGGCAGGTATTTCAAACACAGTATTTACTGAGCATCTTCTAAACAGAAGGTAGTAATACAATTCATATAGTTTAGTCTTCTGGACTTCCACCTTATACCAGTACCTATGTTGTTCAAAAGAAGAGAGAAATAGCTAACACAGTACTCAGGCAGAAGAACAAAGCCCAAGGAATGAACTACCCCCTTTGAGACTCACCATAGAGGTACAGGGTGGAACTGGGGAAAGAACACACACAGATCAAGGGAACTGAATAGAGCTCAGAAAGAGACCCATACAGATACACTAAACCGACCTTTAATAAAGGAGCAAAAACCATTCACTGAAGAAGGATGGTGTTTTAAACAGTGGTGCTCAAAAAATGGACATTCACAGGCAAAACCCAAAAGTGTACATAGAGACAGATCCTACACTCGTCACAAAAAAAACTCAAAATCGATCACAGACCTAAACTAAAATGTGAAACTATGAAACTCCTAGAAGGTAAATTCAGATGACCTTGAGTTTGGCAAAGACCTTTGAGATACAACACCAAAGGAACAATCCATGAAAGAGAGAACTTATAAGCTGGATTTCATTAAACTGAAAACTTTTGCTCTGTGAAAGCCACTGTCAAGAGAATGAGAAGACAAGCCAAGACTTGGAGAAAACATGTGCAAAGACAAAGACATAAAGCACTGTCAACTGAAATGTTTAAAAAAACTCTTAAAACTCGACAGTAAGAAAACAAACAACCCAATTAAAAAGTGGGCTGAAGATCTGAAGAAACACCTCATCAGCGAAGATATATAGCCAGCGAATAAATGTATGAAAAGATGCGCCACATCATATGCCTTGAGGGAACTGCAGATTGAAACACAATACCACTAGGCACCTGCTACCACAGCTGCAAGCCAGACCCCAACACCAAATGCTGCCGGTGACGTGGAGCCACAGGAGCTCCCATTCATTTCTGATGGAAGGAAATTGGTGCAGCCAGCCACTTTGGAAGAAAATTTGGCAGCTTCTTACAAAACTAAACTCTTCCCACAAGGTAGGGCAATTTCTCTCCTTGGTATTTACTTAAAGGAGCTGAAAACCTATGTCCACACAAAAACCTGCACACAGATGTTTGAGGAGTTTGTGCGTGACTGCCAAGCTTTGAAGCAATCAAGACGTCCTTCAGGAGGTAAAAGGACAAAAAATCTGGTACAAATATGGAATATTATTCAGTGCTAAAAATAAATGGACTGTCAAGCCAAGCAAAGACATGGAGGAAGCATAAACGTACGTCACTGAGTATTAGTGGCCAGTCTGGTTGCCAGGGGCTGGCGGAGGAGTGGGGTTGTGGGACGATGAGCAGGCAGAGTGCAGAGGGTCCCTAGGGCAGTGGGAAGACCGTACGCTGCTGTGATGAAGGCTGTGTGTCACTCCACACCTGTGCACACCCACAGAATTTACATGACCAAGAGTGAAACCTCAGGTGGACTATGACTGGGGTGATGACGTCAGTGCGGGCTCATCTACTGTAGCAGGTGTCCTACCTGGTGGGGATGCTGATAATGGGGTGGCCATACATGTGTGCAGGGCTGTGGGTGTGGAGAATCTCTATACCTGTCTCTAATTTTGCCATAAACCCAAAACTGTTTAAACAAAATCAAGTTTTTATTAAAAAAAGAAGAGAAAGATGAAAATATTGCTTTAATCCACAGTTAGGCACTGTTGTAAAAGTATTATGATATTTAAGATGTTATTATAAATATCTCTATTTTGAAACTTTATGATTGTATTATCATAGCATATATTAAAAAAAGGTACCATGAATTCCAAGGAAATACAACCAAGCTCTAATTGATTTTAAAGAAAGAACAGCATTTTTAGAAAAGTATGTTATTTCGTGGAGACAAATTAATCTATATGTACAAATCTTAACATTTTTTAAAATCCGTAATTACTTCTCTACCACACATACTTATCAACTGTTTTATACTAATTCATTTAAAGAAGTGATATCTGCTACTTCAATAAATAAATCTGATGAGAATTCTGTGAAAAAAGTACACAATATCTAATAGGAATTAGTCAACATATACAAAGAGGAACCCAGTGCCCAGCGCCGTGATAGATGAGGGGCACACCCCACCAGTGACATGCGGTAGGTCCACGAGGCGACAGATGCGCCAACAGATCTCGCCGTGGCGATCACCCACAGTAGCACATGGACCCAGTGATCACACCGTACCACCCGTACGATATCATCTGACGGTCACATCAATGAAGCTGGTAAAAACCCAACATACTGCAGACCAGAGCTAACTGCAATAATTTCAAACCACAATTAAGAAAAAAGAAAAGACAAAACAATGATGACACAAGACTGTCTCTCAAAGGACCCTAATCTGGAAGAGAAAGGGGGACACATAAATCAGTGAATATGTTACAGAAAAATAAAAGCAGATAAATGTGTGCTAAATGATCCGGGGATAAACAAATAAAACAAAAGTCAGAGAAAGGACTATGTAAAGCCAGGAGGGGGCTGGTGACCACGGCCTTTGTAGAGCAGCCACTCTGAACAGCCCGTCATTGTCTAAGGTCATAAAATGCAGCTGAAGTGGGACAGCTCTATACTCAGATCCCAAAACTCACTTACTAGCCCTGTGATTTTTCATTGTTCTTAAACTCTCTGAACTTCAAATTTTCTCTCTCTAAAGTAGGAATGTTGTAGCACTGTCTCCTTGCTATAGGGATTCAATGTGATAATGTATGTAAATTGCACAGCTGTGTGCCTAATAAATGGTAGTAATTAGTACAGTTCAGCAGACATTTATTTAGTTTCCAGTAAATATAGTTATTTGTCTTAAACACTTAAAGGCTGGTTTTAGTTCCTGACGAAATAAACTTTCCCAAAGCAAGTTTCTGATCTCTAGAATGCAGAATAAAAACAGAAACCTCCCATCTGTACATAATCAGAATCTAAAGTTTTAGGATTGTATAAGGTTTAATGATACAGCAGTAGATAAGAAGCAGAAATACATGTTATAAATGAAAAAAACCTTAAGATTAAAAAGTAATTTAACTGTAAATAAACAGGAGAGAGATTATAAATTTTCTTAAATTTATTTATTTTTATTTTTTTGAAGAACATTATGTTTACTAGGCTCTCCTCTACCCCAAGTCCCCCCGACAAACCCCATTACAGTCACTGTCCATCAGCATAGTAAGATGTTGTAGAATCACTACTTGTCTTCTGTGTTGCAAAACCCTCCCCTTTC